GACGCTCGCGAGCCACTTCGGGGACTCGGGCACAATGTAGCGGACCGCGATCGCGTAAACCATCGAGATGGCCGAAATGTACAAGACGACGCGCCATGAGACGACCTTGGTGAGCTCGAACGCGAGGAGGACGGCCAGCATGCACCCAATGGACCAGAACGACTCGAGCAACACGACCATGCGGCCACGGACGGGCGCCGGCGCGAGCTCCTGCACGAGCGTCGACGCCACCGGAAGCTCGCCGCCGAGGCCAATGCCGCCAACGAAGCGACACGCGAGGAGGAGCCCGTAGCTCGTCGCGGCGCCGCAGATCACCATCGACACCATGAAGATGAGCATCGTGAGCATGAACATGGGCTTCCGCCCGTACACGTCGGCGAGCATGCCCAAGGCGATGGCGCCAACAAACGACCCGGCAAAGGCCGCCGACCCGAGCAGCCCAATTTGGTGCCCCGAGAGCGCCGAGCCGTCGCTGTTGCGCACGTCGAGCTGCCAGCCTTTCGCGCCGAGGTACGTGAAGAGGAACGTGTCCATCGAGTCCATCGCCCAGCCAAGGCCCGTCTTCCCGAGGAGGCCCCAGTAGTAGCCCGAAATGCCGAGACAGCCGCCCAGCGGGAGGTTGTCGAGCCGATGCGCAATGCACTGGACGGACGTCATATTGGCCGAAAAAGATATACTGCGCCGTTGGGGCGTCAGAGCAGGAAAGGGTGTGTCACAAGAGCGCGGACGAGATGGAGAACGCGCCGAGCAACCACAGAAGTGACGAAAGGAAGGCCGAGCTGCCGTTGTTCGATGCAGAGATGGCTCGGTCGTGATGGCGACGTCGAGCTACTTTGCGGTAGTATGGACGAGTGTTGCATTTCGTTCGATCGGGCTGGGTTTGGCAATAAATCGTTGGCTTCCAATGACCGCTCGTCGGAAGATCGTTGCACTTGGCTGATGCGCAGGACCAGTGAAGGCGCTTGCCCGACGTCTTAGCAGGTTGTGTGCAGCGTCACGGGTCGTTGGGTCCCGCCATCCTGCTTTCTGGCCGCAAGCTCCTCCTACAACACTCGTCCCAATACAAACAACCTTGCATTCAACCTATCATTTGCGTGCGATGACGCGCGTACTGTCGATTGTTCTGGAACTGGTGATGACTGACACCAGTGGACTGACACCACTTGCAGTAGCACCACTTGCACCCGGCATCGAACCTACTACTACATCGCCCAAGTCTGCGCTCAAATGTCGGGTCGTATCTGGACGCATCGGTGGCGTTGCTCTTGACACGGTTCTGAGCGCGAAAGACCTTGGTGGGCAAAATCCATTGCACCGGTAGTATTTGAACCCACGAACGTCGAGCCACCGTCTTGGGTTGCAAATTTAAGGCAGAAAATCGCATTCAAATGACGTCCCTGTAGCGCGATGCTACGTGCATCCGAGTTGGCACTTGGTCGTTGGGTCTGGGAGACACTTGAGCTGAAGTGTACAGGGGGCATAGCGACGATCGAGCTCGACCTGCAACGCCTTCTTCTTCTCCGTCCTCGACAAAGCCATGCCTCTCAAGACGCGGTTGCAACCTGTTGATTATGCACACCAACAACAGTCGGCTAGGTCTGCGAGTTGACATGTTATGCAGTTGCCTGTGTGGAAATACCGCGCGAGCGTCACCGCTTGTAGCCGGACCTTCCGCTAGCGCACGTCATCGGGCATCCTCAAAGCCAGAGCGGTATCGTTGGCCATACATCCCGCCTGCGCAAGGTCGCTGACCACCTCGACCGTGGTGGCGTCGCGCAATTGTGTTGTTGTGAGCCCTCGTCGTCGGTAATTTTGTGGCAGCGTCTCTGCGCTTGTGCTTGGAATCCGTCGCGATGGACGCTCCCGCCGACATCTTTTAGTGCAGCGGTGCAGCCACTGGTCAACTGCAGTTGTACTAGTTCGAGGGAAACGCAATTTGGGAGACCCGGGTTCCGTAGTCGGGTATAACGACGCCCTCTGATACTCTTTTGGCGAGCATCGGTGCAGTGACAACGGTGCGGACCCACGCGTGGCCAAGCCAGCACCTTGTCCGGCGGATCGCGCTCTTGCCTTCGCCTGCCTCAATCAAGCTTCTCAACCGAGTGTACACAACCAAAAATGTTCGATTTCGCATAGTTTTATCGATTGTAATAGACAACCCACTTCAACAACAACAACGCTGCGCACCGCGGACTACCATGGCTTGTTGAGCTGCTTGTTGCCTCTTCCCAGCGTCTCGTTCAAGGGACTTGGGATTCCCTTGCCGTGCCATTGTTCGAGTCTGCGACGAAGACACATTTTGAATTCGTGGCAGAAGTAAAAGATATTTCAAACGATGCGGTCGGCGCAACGAGGCTGCCACAACGCGACTGTGGCGAAGCCTTTCCAGTCCTCTTCTGCGCCTCTGCCCCTACAGATCATCGCCTGTCTAATACCGCCTGCATTCAACCGTTGTCGCGCATACCGTCGTGGTCGATGATGGCGGCTGCGGAGGTGCACTGACGCGCACTAGTACTACGGTATTAGGCTCGGAGCGTTCACTCTACAGTAGCGGTAACGAGCGCATGGTTGCTCTTCTACGCGATCGAATCTTGGTTCCTCGGTTACAGGTTGACGTTCTTCCTTCACCGCCTTCAGCAAGGCCAATCGACAGCACAGAACAGCCTCAAGCTTCCGCGCTCGAGTGCGCTAGACGCCCCGGCCTGTCATGGCCCGATCAATGCCAAACAAACAAATACGAATAGACTCCAAGCTGTGGTCACATTGCCGTGGCAGACAACCTGTACACAACAACGAGGCAGCGGAGGTAAACGAGTGGTCGGGGACTCCCGTGCGCCTTTTTTTGCCCTGGGTGGACACGTGCTGCGTGTAGCTTCTCGTCGCCACAACTTTGTGTGCACAAGCGCTGCCTGCGACGAGATGCAACGGGTGCACCACCGAGATAGCTCACCGAGAGAATCGGGTTGATGCACCGGTGTACAGTGTACCGTGCATACCGGTTCGAACAGAACGCACTCTGTTCGACACTGTTCTTGGCCGACATGACTGGCATATTACTAAAGTGGACTTGGCCATTAGCACGCGTACGCGCCACTGATAACGACGGGGTGGAGAAGCTGTACGTAGAAGATGGACTGTGGAATCGGGAAACGGTGTACACCGGTGCACTACCCCCGTTTACAAGCCGATTGGGCAGCTCCTTCGTACGACAGCGCATAGCATGCGCAGCTAATACCGCTACCGATAGGAGTGCGCGTGTGCCAACCATCCGTTGCGATGCCTCGTTGGTCCATCGACGTCAAGGCTCGTCCCACTCTCCGCCTCAGCGTTGTCGTCGCCATCTGCGGCATGTTTATGCTACACCCAGGACCGACCCGATACCCAAGTCGAGTCACGACCGCCCATGAACCGCGCACCGTCATTTTCGCCCACCAATGACGACGGCTTCAAGATTCCAATCCGGCATTTTCGCCAGCACCGAGAACGGCAACGGCTTACAGTACACTTCGCCGGCCATCTCGAGAGGAAGGACACGCCATCGACCGTGTCGTGAGAGGAAGGACACGCGATCCAGCGCGCGACGGCACGTGCGTGCTAGCGACGACAAAGACAAGTGATGCCTGGACGAGAGCACTACAGCTTTAGCTTTCCTGGATAACGCCATGGCGCGAAAAACGGCTCGTAAGTCACGCGAGACACCTCCCGTCGCCATCGCCGCTGTACAAGTGTACCCACGGTGCTTGGCTGTCCCAGGTCCACTCAAACTAGACGTTCGTCGGGAAGGCGAGCGTCTGGTTTTTTCCCAAGGAACTTTATGTCGTCTTCGCCCATGTGCTTTTGGTGCCACCTGGATGATCCGGCACACACCTTGGGGTAGTCACGACGGTTGTGGCACGATGCTTTCCCGACGAGTCGTCGCCGCCCGACGCACCGAGGAGACGCACGCGAGCCGCTGTCCTATTCCTCTCGTTGTTGCGCAAGAGAGTCCGAGTACCTTGAGATCACTGGCTCATGTTGGACGCGTCGCTTTGAAGTCAGGCCTGTCTCTCGACGCAGCCATTTCGCGTCCCACCAGCTGGTAGCTCGCCCACTTTGCCGGTTGGTTTGCTTGGCCAGAGGGCATCATCACTTTCCAACTTGCCACGATGAGCTTCAGTGGCATGCTCTCGCCCGAGGCGCGGCGCCAGCTCACTAACGCAGCGTACGGCCAGGTCATCTCGCTCCTTCTCGTCATCACGTCCGTGTTTACGCGGTACCTGAACGATGCCAACGCGTCGCTCCCGACGTTCCAGACGCTCTTCCTCTACGGTGGCCTCACGGTCACATACCTTGTCTACCACGTCGTGGCCAAGCGCCCGCGCGTGGACCTGCCGTGGTGGTACTGGGCGATCCTCGGCCTCGTCGACGTCGAAGGCAACTACTGCGTCGTCCTCGCCTTCCGCGGCCTCTCCAACTTTGCGGTCATGGGCCTCGTCGTGCACATGACGATTCCGTTTGTGACGATCTTGAGTTTCCTCTTCCTCCGCCGCAAGTACCTCCCTGTCCACATCATTGGCTGCATCCTCGCCATTGCCGGCTGCACGCTCATCTTCCTCGCGACGACGCAGGACGGCGAATACCCGGACCAGGTCAAGAGCAACTTGTATGCGCTGCTCGGCTCGCTCGGCTACGCGGTCTCCAACCTCCTCAACGAGTATGCGGTCAAGAAGGGCGGCATTGACGCCAACATTGAGTGCCTCGGCATGATTGGTATCTGGGGCCTCGTCATCTCCATCATCCAGTTTTACTGCCTCGAGTACGACCAGTTCAAGGCCGTCGAGTGGGACGGCGCCACGATCGGCTACACCTTTGGCTACGTCCTCACCATGTATGTCTTTTACACTGTCGTCTCGGTCTTCCTCCGCGTCACGGAGGCGCTCATGTTCAACCTCTCGATGCTCACGTCCGACTTGTACGCGGCGCTCCTCATTCGCTGGATCTTTGGCAACATCGTCCCGACCTTGTACTGGCCCGCGTGGGGGCTCGAGGTCGTCGGTATCGTCCTCTACTCGCTCCGCGAGCCGATCCAGCTCCGCCGCGACGACCCCAACTGGTGGCTTAACAAGGTCTGGAACGCGATTGCAATCCGCCTCGGCCTCCCCATCAAGATGCCGGTCGATTCGCCCGCCCTGTACATCGACACGCCGACCAAGAAGGACAGCTACGTCGAGCAGCTCGCATGATGGAATGGAATAAGATCAACAACTTAGCTGTCTGTAGTCACCTCTGTTTTCCCCCACTTCAGTAAGGTTGTTCGCCGTCACGCAATCGTGTTCATGTAGCTCAGCCGACGATCGCAGTTTGCCTCGATGGCTTCTTCCCGTCCTTGCCTCTGGGATAAAAGACATCTGGCCCGTCACCGTGCAGCCGCCTAGTTCACTCAGTGTTGCCGATTGGCGGCTACCTGTCGTCCGTCGAAAAACCATGTTCTGAGTCGGCTTCGCATTACCGCCAACGTGGAACCGCATGCAGCCATGGGACACTCCTATTCGCAAACCACCACAGTCTACCCTCCCTGCCCGTGTACTAGATACTTGGTGTACAGCGACTACAAATAAGCCGACTAGAATCACGCCAGAAGGACCAGGGTCGGTCTAGTGGATCGAGTGGGCTCACAATGCTCGATTCCTTTCCAGCCAAGTACCATTTCTGTGACCCGGTGTATGGTATGGTGATCCGCAGATCGCCTGGCACAGGTCTGCAGTGGTCACTGCGTCCAGACCGATACCAAGTACGAGGAAGGGACTGGAAATGCAGGGTCCGAGGCGACTAGCAAGACTGCTGTGCGTGCACAAGATGGGTCGTGTTGGTGGTACAAGAGGTCGGTGGCGGTTGTCATCGTGGCCGCCTTACAGATCCCGTAACCGCTTGGCGACCTCGGTGAAGGACTTGAGCACCTTGAGCCCGCCCTTCTCGGCCTTGTCGCTGTCGATCTTTTGGGCACTGAGGAGGGACGTCTTGAGGTCCTTGAGAAGTGGGCAGTCGGCGCCTTCGTGGCGCTCGAGCACTTGCATCTGGTTCTTGTACGCCTATCAACCATGCTATCACGAGGCTGCATTGGCTGCGTGACAGCCTACCACGACGAGCAGCTCCTGGACTTCTTTCGCCGGCATCGCAAAGAATGTCATAAACGTTGGCTTCCCGCCGCTGTTGCGCTTGTCGACGATCGAGCCCATGTTGTCACCCTGCATACGCATCGTAAGCTCAAGAAGGCAAGATATGGGTGTACCTTGACGCTAATGAACGCGCCCGTAAAGCCGTCCAACGGCTGCAAGTCAGCCGTCTCTTCGTAGTTGGAGTCTTTCGGCGGCCAATCGAGCGCATACCACCACCTACGTGTAGCATGATGAGCCATTAGCAAGCGTGGCGCTGTCCTACCTGCAGAGAAGCTCTTGGACGAGCCGTCCCTTGAGTGTGTCGTAGAGTGCTTCGGAGCATTCCTGCTGCTTGAACGCAATGTGCGCGACCTTGCGCGTCGACTTGGTCGAAGCCGCAAGCGTCCGCTTCTCGATCTTGACATCGGCCTCCTTCTTGACCTTCTTGGAGCCATTCGCTTCCTTCTTGACTTTGGGCTCGGCCTTGACCTTGGGCTCGGCCTTGATCTTGGGCTCGCTCTTGACAGTGGGCTTCTTCTTGAACGCAGAGATCGGTTGGTCGTCGTCCTCGCTGCTGCTGCTACTGCTCTTCTTGACCTTCTTCATCGTCATGAGCGGCTTGTCTTCGTCCGAGTCCGTGTCATCGTCGACGATCTGCCGCTTCATGCTCGGCTTGGCCGGCTGCTCGCGGAGCTTGGAGAGAGGTACGTCTTCGTCGCTGTCCCTACGCATGTACACGCGTCAACCTCGACCCTCGCTTCCATGCTCCTACGTCGAGCTCATGGCGGCGCCAACGGTGGAAATGTGTGGAGTCGATTTTAGCTCAAGGGACACCTCTCACATGTAATATCCATTTCTGCAGGTCTCCAGCCGACAAAAAGCATAACAATTGTATACCATAGTCAACTCAGGCTTGACCAATGCGTATCTCTATCAATGTATACAATACATTGTTACTGATAAAACGTGGCACGCTGCACACGCACGGATCCTGAAACACGCAACCTGGAGGGCCTTCATGGCCTACAGCACGAGCTGCGCCAACGGTCGTCGCACCATTGCCCTCGCAACCTCATGCGGCACAACATGTGCGCCGATTCGGTGCAATTCGTGCATCGAGGACGAGAACGACGACGCCTCCCGCGTCACGCTCCGTCGTCGCTTGTGCAACGCAAGGCGCTCCTTGGCGTGACAATGGTAATATGCTATCAAAAACATGCCGATATCACTCCATCAAAGCCTCAAACGACTATGCATGCAAGTTGACTAGTGTGCTCGCCGACGTCGCGCTCAATAAGCGCTGTAACTGCGCCCCGCTGAGCGAGATCCTTGTGCGCCAGCGCTGGCGCCTGCTGGTCCACGTGCTGTGCCTGAAGGATGGCGTCCCTGGTAACGCTGCCAATGTCCGTTTCTTTCCCCGCCCGAGGTGCCCCGTTTTTCAGGCCGTACCAAGATCACGTTGCCGATGGTCCTGCACGGAGACAGCAGTCGCTGACGCCACCTTCATCACTGGCGTCTCTCGAGGACCGCAACAAACTGCATGCCTCTGCCGCCGATCGCAATGGCTGAAAGGCCTTTACGGAGCGTGTCGTCATGTGCCTCTCTCGCGGCTGCGAGCGCCCCCGGGCGACTCCAGAAGAGCACGACGCGCCCCCGCCTGCGCTACTGACCAGCGAGCGAATGAAGATGAAGAAGGAGATTGCTTCGTAGTATGCTACGTCTGTGTGAGAATGAAGCTGACACGAAGCACGTTGATATACACGCGTACTAGTGATCCGTCACGTCTTGGAGCTCGAGGTGCTCCACAGCGGCTGCTGGTCGCGTCGTCGTCGCCTGCGCAGTATCGTGCGGCACCACACGTGTCTTGGGCTGCAGCTCTCTTGACATGGACTCGTTCGACGAGAGCCACATTTGCCGCAAGTGGCCCGGTGACTTGGGCTGCGCGCCGTGCAGCTGGATGAGCTCTCGCACGCGCCGCGACCGGACATTCTGCCACAGTTCGCTGCTTGGACGTCGACGTCGATGGTGGTTGGCGGCCTCGTTTCCTACGTTATTTTGTTTGAAAATCGGTGTCTCATTTTGGATGGAGTCGTACGCTGGCGGACGTGCGCGAAAAAGAAGATTTTACGCTCGTCTTCCGAGAGCGACTGGTGCCGCTTGGCATGGCAGTGGTAGTACACTGTCAGAAGCATTGCTGTAGCGACCGCGACGAGCGACAGAAAGAGGCTGTCATCTTGACAAACCAAGAGCGAAATCCAGCAAAGACCGAACACACAAATGGCGTAGACACCTGCCTGGCGGCCCAGTGGCGACACGAACTGGCGCTTGAGCCCTGGAAACTTGGCGCGGAGGAATACATACCCGTACGCGTGGGCCATGTATGTCGGCATCGCAAAGAGAAAAGACACATTGTATAGATTCCGACCCAGAAGCGGGACCGCCCGTGCAAGCCCTGCCGCACCAAAGCTCAGGACACCACAGAGCAGTAGCGTTCGCGGGTAGCAGTTGTAGCGCAGCAGCGGCCGAGCCAAGTGGCGATCGACCAAACTCGACTTGGCGAGGCCCGTAAGAGTGTTGGACGACGTGAGGACGAAGGCGCCGATCGCAGGAACGATGAGCAGCAGCGAGACGAGGGCAGCAGACGAATCACTGATACCCAGCACCTCCCGAAAGCCTAGCCATCGCTTCCATATGAGCGTACCATCCTCACTTCCGCTCGCAGCATACCTCGCGTCAGACCCCCCGCTGTCGTCGCGGGCGGTACGATGGCCGAAGTGGCAAAGACCAGCGCACTGACAAGAAGGACCGAATACGACGCGCGTGCTTGACCCACAGGCAGAATATGGACGGGCCGTTGGACGTAGTCGGCAAACGATGCGAGTGCGTCGATGCCGATAAAGCTGTGGGTGTACAGAGGCAGCAGCTGCAGGAGGGTCCAGCCGCTGTCGGACGACGCCGCCTTCGATGAGCTCGTCGCATCGTGCAGGGCGCGCCAAACGCCAGCGCAGTAGAGCGCGAGAAGACCAAGACCGAGCACGACGACACCGGCTGTGAGGTGCCACAACCACCGGTTCTGAAACACGTGAAAGAGCACAGCGGCAGTGATCGTCCCCAACAAAACCAGCGGCACAAACTCGTCACCGATCGTCGGTGCCACGAGGTCGCCCAGCGTTAGCGTGAGCGCACTCGTGTACAAAATGTAGTAGAGGCACTCGCACGCGCCAACGACAAAGCCGAGAAAGTATCCAAGCGAGCACCGGCTAAGGCCAAAGACGCCGCCGCCAAAGGGCAGCGCGCTCGAGACTTCGGCCATGCTCACGGTTAAGGCCACGTGCGCGGTACCGATGATACCGAGGCTAGCGATTTGGGCGGCCAAGCTCGAGGCGGCGCCGGCGGCCCACCCCGTGGACGAAGCCGCCCAGCGTCAGCACCGTCCCGAGCGCCCACACCTCGATCGCCGATGCCCTGTAGCGCCCGCGCTCGTCGTCAATGTGGCTGTTGCTCACGCGACGCGCCGCGACCGCGACCATGCCGAGTGCGAAGCAGCGTGTCAATACATATATATTTTTAGTCTGGACCCCGACCCCTCGTAATGTGCGGGAGCCAATGAAAGCGCAAGAACTCGAGTAGCGTTGTCCGTTCTGGTCCAAGGTGCATATTTTCATTTATGCACCCTTGGTCCTGGTGTGAATAGAAACTCATGAAAACAAACTGATAGAGCTCGCACCAGATCGCGCGCTATTTCGGGTCGTTTGTTTTGGTGGTCACGAGAGCGCAGTATTCATAGCACCGTTGTAGACAGGCGGTTGTTCGCACACACTATCGGTTGCAGCCCCATGAAGGTCGATGTGACGTCGACCGCCGTGGGCCCCGGGGCGTCGACGCTGCAGTACCACGCGACCAAGTTTGACATTTGGGCACTGGGCATCACGATGGTGCTGGGCGGACAGCTCTTTTCGTGGAACGCGGGGCTGGTCGCGGGAATCGTTAGCAACGCGGTTGCTATCCTTGTGCTCGGTGTCGGGTACGTCTGCCTCGTCTTGTCCATGGCCGAGATGACGTCGACGCTGGCTTTCTCGGGCGGCGCGTACGGCCTCACGCGCTGCTCGATCGGCTTCTACGCTGGCTGGGTCATTGGCTGCTGCGAAGCGCTCGAGTACATAGCGTACACGGCGAGTGCGGTCCTCACGCTAAGTGACATGTTGTACATTGCCTTTCCGACGCTCCACGCCGACGTGGCCCCCGTGCTGTGGCTCCTGACCTACGGCATCTGCAACGTACTCTTGGCGTGCAGCGATCGGGTGTTTTGGCTCGTCAACCGCTTCTTGGCGCTTCTCTCGTTGATGCTCGTGCTCGTCTACCTCGGGGGTGCCTACTCGCTCAGCGAGTTTTCCCATCGCGTCACGAGCGATGCCAACCGGCTTGTCGTCGGCGGCGGCGTCGAGTTCCTTCGCCGCCTCCCGTTTGCTGCGTGGTTCTTTGTCGGCATTGAAGCGCTTAGCACTGTCTGCAACGTGGTGCCGACGCCCAAGGAGGTCATTCCTCTAGGCCAAGTGGCGTGCGTGCTCACGCTCTTCGCCCTCGCGGTGCTCGTGTTTACAGCTGCCGTCGGTGTCGCGCCCGACGTGATGAGCATAACAACCGACGTGGCCGTGCTTTCGCGGGGTGCGATCTGTGACGATGCCAACGATTCGGTTTCTATCCTTTATATGCATAGGCTACGAGCGCATCCTGCATCTCTCGCCGGCCGACGCCATGATGCTCTCGATCCCAGCGACCTTTGCAACCATCTTTGGCTTTGTCCTGGCCTACTCCAACATCCTCGCGGCCATGGCGAGCTCGCACCTCTTGCCGGTTGTGCTGACACGGCAGTTGGGATGGAGCCATACCCACCCGATCGCAACGCTACTCGGGTCGCTGCTCGGGTTTGGGATGTGTTTTCTCGTCCGCGAGTTTGAAACGCTGCGGGACGAGCTCTTCAATATCGGCATGGTGCTTGCGTTCGCGGCATACGCCGCTCAGTGCGTCGGGTACATGTACCTCAAGCAGCGCTTTGCCCACCTCCCGCGCGCCTTTCGGAGTCCGCTCGGCGTGTACGGCGCATTTCTGTCGCTGACGATTTGGCTCGTCAACATCGTGTCCGTGCTTGCCTTCCAAGACCACGTTGCGTACAAGCTCCAAGTGCTCGCGGGGTTGCTCCTGCTGCAGAGCATCTACTACCACATGTACGCCAAGCACAAGCAGCAAATGTCCGAGGACGAGCGCAAGGTGCTCTTCTTCGCCCATGTCGCCAACGGTGCGTTTCGAGTCCGAGTAGTACGATTTAAACTTGCACAATCTGTGCCTAGCCAACGACGCCAAGCGAAAGATGAACCGCAAGAGCCGCAGTCGGATGTCGTCCACGATCGAGCGCGTCGTGCGACGCATCGTGGTGTGGCCCCACGCACGCAATAAAGTTAGCGTCATTGCTCCGTCGACAAGACCCAGCATCAACACGATGCCCTGCAAAAATGGACACCGGTAGTCTCTTCGTCAATTAAAAACCAATCGATGTATCGCGAATAAATGCATTTTCTATCTATCTATCTATCTATCTATCTATCTATCTATCTATCTATCTATCTATCTATCTATCTATCTATCTATCTATCTATCTATCTATCTATCTATCTATCTATCTATCTATCTATCTATCTATCTATCTATGCTGCACAGCATCAACCGATGGCTGGTGGTCGCGACCACACCCGATGCCACAAGAGCTCGAATTGAATGAGTCGACCCATGCCGTAGGGCTCTTGTTTTCGGGAAGATCGATAGATAAATAGATGTAGATAGATGTAGATAGATCGCTCCTTGATCCGCATTGTACCAGTGTTCCAGTCTCATGAACATGCACGTGTTTCGCGTTGTCTTAGTTGTTGCCGAGATTTCGCATACGCAGAGGCTAATACATGTAGTAGAAATATCTTCTTCCTTTCCATTCGCTCGCCGGGCCGTGACTGCGCGGGGGCGCCTCTTGCTCTTCTGTAGTCGCCCGACAAGTGTCCTAACCGAGCAAAATGTGTCTTAATCGTGCTGACATGATAGACTGGGTAGCTTCCGATGCTACAACGCCTGCATGCACCACGTCGAGCCAGACACATCCACGTCGTACATACGACATCCGTGTACAATATGAAAAGGACACTCTATTCGTCACGTATACGGACGCGGGATATGGACATGACGTGTCGTCGCCTTATCGCAGCAAGATCATTTTGCGAGTTTCGATGAGCGCGTTTGTGCGCAGGTCGCTTTGCCACCAGCTTTCTTTTCGCTCGCATCGGCGTCAAGCACTTGGAGCCAGGAGCGCGCAATGTGCTGTAGCTGCGGCAGCGAGGCGGGCGCACTCGGGTACGCTTCGCACTCGTCCCGCAGCTCCTCCACCTGCCGATCGAGGTACAGAACCAACCAGCGCGTCGACGTGAGCTTGAGCGGCAGCGACAGCGATGTGGTCGATGGAAACACCGACCACGCATGCGTATAATCGGTTTGCGCACCCACAAAGTCGCGCACCAAGTTTTTCCGATCGCCTTGCCGCGTCCACGCCTCTTGGTGGTGCGGCGGCGACGGCGACGACGCGACGAGCGCAGCGTCGCAGGCGTCCGCAGCCGCCGACTGGGTCTCCTCCGTATAGTTGGCACGGACCATGGCTTGGAGCGACGTTGTGCAGGCCGTCAGCGCGCGTTCAATGGGCGCGGGGTCGACAACCATCAGTTCCATCTCGTCGACTGCTTCGACACTGTACATCGAAGCGTCGGCCTCTGTCGTGGGCTCAGCGTTGGCCACCGTTGTGGGTTCGGTCGTTGCTGCTGCGGCTTCTGGCTCTGCGGCTTCAGACTCTGCGTCTTTTGGCTCTGCGGCTTCTGGCTCTGCATCTTCTGGCTCTGTGGCTTCTGGCTCTGCGGCCTCTGGCTCGTCCAATGCATTTTGTACCGTCGCCGGCTCGAGCTCGTGTGGCGACTTCAGAGCTGGCTCGTCTTGCGTGGCGTCAAGAGAAGCCAGCGTATCGAGCTGGCTCGTCTTGCGTGGCGTCAAGAGAAGCCAGCGTATCGAGCGTCGCGGCCTCGTCCAGCAGCGTGTTGGCGTCAGCAGGCAGCGACGAGTTGTCGTCGTCGTCGTCGGCAGAAAGGGCAGCATCGCCGTCGAACGTGATGGCGACTTCGACCACATCCTCAATGACGGTCGTCTCGTGCTCGGCCGCCTCCTGCGAGACGGAATCGTCGGTATCGGCCGCGGTCGTTGTCGCATCGAGCGCGTCATGGCTCTCACCGACCTGTGTTGATGGCTCTTCCTCCGGCGTTGTGTCAACGGGCGTCGGTGGCTCGACCTCGGAGGCGTCGGGCTCGTCCGTGTCCGAGGTCACGGACGCGTCATCGGGGTCTGCTTTGTCTTGAGTCGTGATATTGCTGCTGTCATCGCTCGGAACGGCTCGGTCAACGCCGTACTCGTCCACCGCTATCGCATCATGCAGCGCCGAGTAGAGCGACGGCAGTACTACTGTCGCCCCGAGGTCCTCAAGACGCGTCCATGCCTCGGTCAGCGTCGCGCCCTCGGAATGCACTTGGTAGATGATGGATCCTTGGACGGCGCAGATGAGAACGCCAAGGAAGAAGCCGAGTCGGCGCCATGGGTTCCGGCGCAGTTCCGCGTCCAAGCGCGCACTCGGCAATGGCTGCGCCTCCGAGTCAATGCGCGAGCCGTACTGGCGCTTCCACTTGGCATTTTTCCGCTCGAACTCCTTCTCCCAATTGGCGCGGTCGGCCTCGTCCGCCCAGAGCGTCTCGTCGACCATGGCGTCGTCCACCTCGTCGTCGTCGTCGTCGTCGTCGTCATCCGCGTCAGCATCCGAGGCTTCTGATGGTGCATACTCTTCGTCGCCGTCCTCGTCGTCCTCGAGCTCAAGCGTCCGGAAGGCGACGCCGTCGTCGCTGTCGCTGCTCGCGTTGGCGTCGTGGCCCCAGATGCCATCGGCCGGCGTTGCCATTGTTGCGGCAGCAACCGGTGGGCGGAAATGGTGTGTGATATAAAAACGCCGCATTAAAATAGTGTGATAAACAGGCAGCCTCAACACGATGGCGTCCTTGGTCCTCTGCGGCAATTCTCTTTTCCTCTTGACCCAAGCGACGCGATCACGACCCCGAGAGAGGTGGTCTTATCCGGAGCCATTGGCTGCTACTAGCGTACGTCGTTGGTCCAGTTTGAGGACGTAGCAGCGCGCAGCTTCCGCTGTGCACAAAGTAGCTGGAACACGGCCTCCTGTTGTCCGCGGGGATGCGATCAAGGAGCCTGCAATCTATACTGCAGAGTCAAAGCTGTTGAACGATACTTGATAGAGTGATGATGGCCTCACGCCGTGCCTTTGGGAGTTGTGCAGGTCTCTGGTGGCGCGTGATTAGTGCAGTGGAAGGCGACTGAGCGACAGCGACCATGTCTTGGCCGGCTTCGTTGACGCCTTGGATGCAGTCTCGCAGTTGAAAAGCAATACACGCGGATCTTGTTGACGCCAGCTCGACCCCCGAGGTAGACGCTACGGACGTACTACCCCTGCAACGGGCAAAGGAAGCAAAGGAACAAGACACATGTCGGGTTGAGATATAACTACGACTTGATGGCGCGATAGGCATCCCCTGGCTACTCGACTAGTGTGATCTAATGTTCGTGGCCGGCGCTCTTGAGGTCGTTCATGTTGGTGCCAGCAATCGGCTCGCCTAGCAAGTGGACGATAGCACCGAGCGGTCAACGCAGCCGCCGTCGTACCAAAGAGGCGCAGGCTCGAGAGCGCTGAGATGTCGCCGCCATTGTTCTCTTCGATAAAGAGCTAGAGCGAAAATGAGCATGTAATAGAAGCGGATCGTCCTACCGTCAAGGCCGAGACGCGCTGGAACTTGACAAAGCGGAGCTCGATCGGTGACCCCGATGCGAGCTGCTCGTCGTTCAGCTCGAGTTGCTGCACAGGCTCAATGTCCGCAACGTCCGAGAAGCCCTGCCCATATATTTGAGCGTCATGCGCATGCTGGGACAACATGTAATATACCAGGTTGTTGCGGTTCACAAACAGCTTGAGCACACGCGGCGCCGAGTCTACGTATGGCTAAGCTCGATGTAGACATGGGCGCCTACCGTCCGTGGGCGCCTTGAGCGCAATCGAGTGGATCTTCACGGCCTCCTTGAACTCCAAGTGGATGATGAGCTGCTCTAGATGCGCAAGACGACTTGAGGCCATGCCATGGGCATGCGCTGCGTACCATCGGCCTCGCTCTTGAGGAGGAGCGTGCCATCGCCGATGAAGAGGTTGGCAAAGCCATAGCTCGGGTCTTCGTTGAGGCAGTACGAGTTGGCCTTGTCGAGCTGCTCGGTGAGGTCGTCAAACTTGCGGACGGACATGGCTGGAATTGCAATCTGGGGCAGCCGATTCTCCAAAAATAGTGTGCATTTATTCCTTGAAATAGACTGATCAACACTACCAAGGTATTGGTACTTCTTTATTGGTTTTATATAGTGTGTACAGCACCATATTTGCACCCAATAGTGTGAACGATCAACTTCTCTACAATGATGAGTACCAGTATAGTGTTATACCTTCCGGGCTAATTTCACCCAAATGAATTGCTCTCCATGTGCATTTCGGAGCACCAACAGCTTCGTTCCTCGCCACAAGGTGGTGCAATAGCCTTGCATATCTACCGGTCATGCGGCCGCTCGTGGTGGTAAACGTAACACAGTGCATGGCACGACGCCGCCTGCCGCAATGCCTCGCCCGATCCCACACAAAATTGGGTGTTTTTGAAGCAGAACGCCATGTGGTAGCATGTATTTTCAGAGGTTCTCTTGAAATACATATCGAAAGGCTACAAAAGATCGCGCATGGGCGATGCAGGCAGCGACATGCTCCTCGAACGTACCGCACGGCCGCCGTGGCTCGCCGACGTCGACGAAGAAGCCGTCGACTACGACCACATGTCGGTGCGCGCCGAAGACACTCTTGTGCGCTGCAGCGGGATTCTGCGCGACGGCGCACGCTGCACAAGGACGTGTGTCGTCGACCGGTCCCAGCTATTGTATCCGCCCCATTCCTATTGCTACAAGCACCATGGGCAAGCCGCGGTCACTTCGCATGGCTACGCACCCCTCGTCGTCTCGGATTTGCAAGTACCACCCCCTACTCGGCGTCCATGCGTTTGCAGCCACTGGACCAGCCTCGCGATGCTCTTCGTTTGCAGCTTCTCACTGGCTGTGTTTTGCTTGGTCGTGGCGCTGGCGCTCCACGAGCCGACGTTGGGCATCCTCAGTGTCACATTCTTTGCCGTGCCAATCGGATTGCTCGGCTACTGTCTCCTCCAAATGATGATGCATGCATTTCTGCCACCCCCGCCACCACTCGATGCCACGGACCTCTTACTTTGACTATGCTACACCCCGTGGTGGCACATCACTTGGACGTCTGCGATCGGTCGCCCGCACGAATGGAGCGACGCCAGATTGGTGGCTCTATAAAGATCTCTATATGACCAACTTCAGCTTTATCCATGTTGAACCCGACCGGTCGTGGCCTACCACGGCGCCACGTGGTATGGCGTCGCATCCGGTTTTATGACTCATTCTAACCGGATGCCACGAGGCGAAAAGATTTTTTCCGCAGAGAACTCATTTGCCATTTTGCCGCGCTGCAGCCATGCCCCGCCTCGAGACTGACGTGAAGCTGGACTTCAAGGACGTGCTGATCCGCCCCAAGCGCAGCACGCTCAAGAGCCGCTCCCAGGTCGACGTCTCCCGCACCTACACCTTTCGCAACTCGGGCCGCACGTGGTCCGGCGTGGTACGACGATCGTCTTGCAGTCACCAGCAGGGGCTCATGCTGCTGCATTAGCCCGTGATCGCTGCCAACATGGACACGGTCGGTACGTTCGAGATGGCTGTCGCGCTTGCCCAGCACAAGTGTATCACGTGCGTCCACAAGCACTACTCGGTCGACGAGGTATGTAGCATCATCCTATGACTGCAACACTGCACGGACGCTCACGCGATGGGGTGTATAGTGGGAGGCCTTTGGCGCAGCGCACCCTGACGTGCTTCCCTTCGTGGCCGTCAGCGCCGGCACGAGTGCGGCCGACTTGGAGCGAGTCTCGAGCGTCCTTGCCAAGCTCGACGCGATCTCGTTTGTGTGCCTCGATGTCGCCAACGGTACGTTCTCTCATCATCGTGTTGTTGAACGCATCCTATCAATAGGCTACTCGGAGATGTTTGTCGAAGCGGTCCGCCGCGTCCGTGAGGCGCACCCGACGCACACCATCATCGCCGGCAACGTCGTGACGGGTGAGATGGTCGAGGAGCTCCTTCTCAGTGGCGCCGACATTATCAAGATCGGTATTGGTCCGGGCTCGGTCTGCACGACGCGCAAGCAGACGGGTGTCGGCTACCCGCAGCTCTCGGCTGTCCTCGAGTGCGCGGACGCCGCCCATGGTCTGCGCGGCCACGTCATCTCGGATGGCGGTTGCACGTGCCCCGGCGACGTCTCCAAGGCGTTTGGCGCCGGCGCCGACTTTGTCATGCTCGGCGGCATGCTCGCGGGCCACGACGAGAGCGGCGGCGACGTGCTCGAGCTCGGCGGCCAAATGTTCAAGCGCTTCTACGGCATGAGCTCGTCCGTCGCGATGAACAAGCACGCGGGCGGCGTGGCTGAGTACCGGTCGAGCGAAGGCAAGGCCGTGACCGTGCCGTACCGCGGCCCCGTCGACGGCACGATCAAGGACATTCTTGGCGGCGTCCGCTCGACGTGCACGTACGTTGGTGCGAGCCAGTTGAAGGAGCTCAGCAAGGTCCGGATCCAATGGAATCGATCGCATCTCACGCCTTCTGTTCTAGCGCACGACGTTCATCCGCGTGACGCAGCAGCTCAACGAGGTGTTTGGCAAGGCGCCCAACGAGCAAGAGCTCGCGCAACGCGCCCAAGACCACCAACTAACCATGAAGCCAAGCTTAGAAGCCTGACGGCAACGTCGCTGGATGTTGCCGTACTACCACTTAAGTTGATAAGATGAATCCTGCATGTAATACTCTGCATCATCTCTATTGTCGCTCCTGCTGCTGTGTTGGTTGTTGTTGAAGTGGGTCGTATCCTGTGGCGTGGTTGCGCCACGGCTGTTTACCCGCGATCTTGCAATCCGGAGACCGTTTTACCTACGTTTAAACATAAAACGTCTCGGGTCAAAAACAGAATCCGAATACAAACGTCCATACAAGGCAAAATTCGAAGGCTGGCCCCGAGTACGTTAAACTCGGTACACGATGGGCGCAGCCTTGCTGCTGTCGCAGCCGACGAGCAGAGTGCTTTCAAAGCCCTCAGAAGGCGACATGACGCCTGGGGCGGACGCGGTGGCTGCGCGCCCGACGTTGAACGCGTCGGTTAAACGAGTCGAACCGGGGCGAGGTTCATCCGGATGAACCAGTGGTGTTGCTGGTATGCGTTTTCAGAGGTATTGGCCGTCGAAGCTAAGACCACACAAACCCGTCATCATGTCCAAGTCCTTGGGCGTCCCGCTGAGCCTGCTCCATGAAGGCGAAGGCCACACGATCACGCTCGAGCTCAAGAACGGCGAGATCTACAAGGGCCACCTCATGGAGGCCGAAGACAGCATGAACTGCCAGCTCAAGGACGTGACGCTGACGGGCCGCGACGGCCAGCTCAGCCGCCTCGAACAGGTCTACATCCGCGGCAGCCAGGTCAAGCTCTTCATCCTGCCCGACATGCTGCAAAAGTCGCCGCTGTTCAAGAAGATCCAGGCGCTCAAGAAGCCCAACGACAAGAAGGCCAAGAAGGGCAAGGGCCGTGGGCGCGGCGCGGCGCC